GAGGAACCGAGGATAGCGGCAAGAGAGACCACGCTGGGTGCGAAGCGCGCGGTGCCTTCAAACCCTCGTCCGCGACGTGCGCAAGAACAGAAGTGCGCTTGAGACGGCCTCGCGGCTTGCACAAGCAGCGGCCAGCGCGCGCGCGGAAATCAAAAACAGCGTCGCGCGATGGTCATAAATCAAGCGGCCGCCGCCGCAGCAGCAGCAGCAGCCGAAGCGCGGCCGGTGCTCGGGCATGGAAAGATGGACGTCGCAGCGGGGCAACCGGGCGCAGCCACTGCCTAAATATACGCGGCGTGAGCGACCACGGGAGACGCCAAAAGGTGCTGCCGCCCCTCTCGAAGGCTGCTGGAGAGCGCGCGGGGCGGTTCTTTATCGGGCTCAATTTCGGGACGGCCGACGGCTGTTCAGATTCATCACGCATGTTCCGCTGGCAGCGCTGGCGGCTCAATTTGTCGCCTGCTCGGTCGCTGGTGGCAGCCGCCTTCTCACCTCAGCCTCTCCTCTCTCGGCAGCGCATCCTAAACGTCACCGCCGTCTCCGGCCTCTCGCACTTGTCAAACCCTTCACTATCAAGGCTTCAGTGAATGGATGACAGTTGCCCGAGACGCGGACCTTAGGTCTTGCATCCGGGTCCGGGCTTTTAACACGGACGCAGGGACGATTGAGAGATATGAGACTCCATATAAAAGCTTGTTGATTCGCTGTTACAACTTTACTGGACGCTTTCTAGAATTTCTGGGTGTCGCAGTGGTAGTGCAGCCATCACTTATTCATACGATGATTTATTATAAAAAAAAATCCTCCTTCAATTCAGTTGAAGCGCGATATATTCAGGCGCGAAACTTTTCCCGAAATTCCACTTCTCCGGCAGGCTATGAAAGCATGGCATCCTTTGATCGGTCCGTTGTCATATTCGTTCTTGAAACTTAGAGTGAATTTTCTATACACATTCACTGGTACGCAATACTTTGTTGTTTTTCAACAAAATCATGTCCGTTGTTTAATGTGAGAAACCAGCTGTCTACAATTACCTAACGGGTGTAATCGTACAATTACGCATTATTTCAAAACTTTCTGATAGTCAAAGAACGATATATAAGAACGAATTAATCGGGTCAACAGTCGCACTGACGTACTCATTTGTGTGCTACAAAACTGTTTATCAGGGCAGGAGTAAGTTATGGCATAACTGAGGCGTGACGCAACGGTTCGCATGAGTGAAGAGAGTTCTGAAAGTATGCTCCGGGCCGTCTAGTTAAATAACATATCTATATGTTGTAGCGTAATCCGGAACACTTTGTTAAATGCTAAATGTATGTCAGACGCAGTAGAAGACGCTGTGCACGTCAAGTGCACATGTACAGCCGTGACCACGTCTGTGTAGAGTACGTGAACAGCCCTGTTTTTGCTCTGCGGGGCAGAACCTTGGGGCAGTTGGTCAGCCTGACAACTAGACCACACCACTTCAGAGCCCGAAACTGCCTCACCGTTTCGCCCCGCATTGCAAAAACCGGCTGTTCGAGTGCTCTACACAGACATGGCCGCGGCTGTACGTGCTTTCGAAGCGTGCAATAGAAAGTGATCCTGTCGAATCCGATCATGCAATTGCGTAGAACCCCACATCCCTTCTTTAAGCGCTCTTGGGAGAGCGCAGGTGTCGTGTCGGAGTCGACCGCCACGGGTGTCGCGGCTGTCGAAATGTGTCGCAGCGTCTATACCACTGCGGCTGCGAGATTTGCGCCGGTCTTGTGAAAGAGTGAAGGATCGCCGTTTAATTACCGCACGCACGCAGCTCGTCCATCAAGGCTCGCCCTCTAGACAACATGCGAAACGCGAGGGAAAAAAAGTAATAAAACAGCAGCAAGAGCGTTTGCTTTTCGCCTCGCATCACCCGCGTGAACAAAGGAGCGCCTCCTGCGAGTCTGTCGCCGCAATTTTAGCCATGCGCATTCGGGGAACGGGGTTAACAACCATCCGGCGAGCCGCGCTCCTGCAAGAACGCCGTTGCGATTCTCGCGTGCGAGGAGGGGAAAAAAAATCTAACACGTGTTCTCTCGACAGGTAGCCCGTGAGGTGCAGCTCATGGTGTCCGATTCACTTCGAAGATAATCTGAGTGATGCTGCACTGGTGCAAGATTTAAGCGCCGCATCGGTTTGCCTGAGGTCGGAGGGCAGGGGGAAGGGGGTCTGCATCGCATTATTGTGTTGTTACTCAAGAGGAACGCAATAAACAAGACAGATGACAACCTTCTATAGTAGCTTCATGGTATACGATCGACGTCCGACCCATACCACAGCCAAGCGAAGAAGAAATGTGAGCGAATAAAATTTACTAAAAAAAGAACAAAGAAACGAAGGCACTCATTAAGAGGCAAAAGGAAAGGGCGCTTAAGGGCAGCGGATAGCGATGCAACGAATAAACTTTTGCGAATATTCTTGGAGGACCCTGGCATGAGGGATTATTAAGAATGTAGCGTTGACAAGCAATATATACATCACCTACAATATAGGTAGCTATTCACTTCAGCGCATTTTTCGTCATGTGCGCCGTATTCAGCAGCCTGAGTCCCGCTTTCGAAGACAGTCCTCCTCTTCCATCGCCGCATCATCTCCTACAGCCTTTAGAAGGACTAACAGCAGTGAGGAGATCATATATAGCTGTCCTTCTCCAGCGCTTCCGCACACCGTGTAACACGCAGCGATGCCCTTTCGGTAGCGGGTTGTTGTCAAAGCAATACGGTGGTTTGCGCTTGACGATTCGCTCCAATTACCGACAGCCCAACATCCCGTATAGTTAGTGGTGGTGTGTCATCCACGCGTCTATACTTAAAGCTTGGTGTGGTTACTTACTTCTAATGCCCACTGTACTTGCAGCTTTTTGTGAAAGATATATGCACCCTTTCATTGCCACTATTTCATCTCCACTACTATATTATTCTTTTAGCCTCCTGTAGCGGTGTCGCGACGTAGAAAACCTGAGGTTGTCATTGAAAATGGGGGTGGAAAGCTTAAGTGAATGAAATTATGCTTCTGAATGGAAACCCTCCTCCCTGGAATGCTTCATCTTCGCATGATATTTATAGACGCACAGACACATGTGTAGATACAAACCCTCGCATGTACATAGAAAAAAAGTGGCTAAACGCAAATCCCCCTCTCCCCCACGCTTCCAGATAAATTTAGGTGTAATAATAATAATAATAATAATAATAATAATAATAATAACGACATCATCTCTGAGTTAACGTCTCAAAATCATGGTACGATTATGAGAGACGCCGGAGTGCATGGCTCCGGAAACTCCGACCACCTGAGGATATTTAACGCGCACCCTAACCTAAGTACACGTGCCTCAAATATTTCTGCCTCCCGAATTGGCACCATTCAGAACAACACGTTGAGAATGTTTTGAGAGGTAGTTCTCACTACAATATCATTAGTTTTAGCAAATGGTGAAAACAAATAGGAATGTTCTCACGTCACATTTAAGTGCAGTTATTGCTAAAAGTTAAAAGCTTTCCTCCTTTTTTTTTCTCTATACCAAGTATAGTTATGGCTTACATAACGAATAAGCTCGACAGCAAAAAGGATATAGAATATAATTTTCGTGCCTTTTTTGTATTGCAATGTGTATCACATTGTACAGGGCTGTCTTGTACTGAAGACGATCAAGAAATTCGGTATACTGTATATGAACAGCCAACGCGAAACATCGCTTATGTGCTGCGTAGCGGCCTTCGTCACTCGTTTGACGTCAAGCTTGCCGCAACGATCGACTTCACTGGCAGTGTGCATTGAGAATGGTTTAGCAGCATGACTGTCACGCAGTTTTGGGAATGCTGGGCTGTCGCAGCGCCAAAGGAACCCTGCATGAAGCAACGTTCTTGCTTTTTTCGCCAGCAATGAATTCTGACGAGCAACACGTGCTCCTGCACACTATAGGGCTCTTCAGATTCAATCAGCATGGAGCTCCTTCGCATCCGGGAAGCGAGTCTGAAGCTTCGTTTACTTCACGCAACCAAGTCAGCTTCTTATTAACATCTCTAAAGAAAAGGAGATGACCGTGCAAATAACAGAAGTGGATCAACGTTGTTGATACTGCTATTGGTTGTAATAATAATTGGTTATAACAAATAAAGAAAAATGTTTCATTAACACACATGTCGCCTACAGTACCAGCCCTTTATATCGAAGGAATAATATTGTTCCTTGAGCTTAGAATAAGGGCACCATGCACCCTGCCGGACAGACTACGCTCTTCATATATATTCCCCATGGGGCGCTGGAATTTTTTCCAATTTGCTTTATGCATATAATAAAGTTTTCTACTACTGTTACTGCTACGACTACTGCTGGATTGACAGCATTTCTAACAGTATTTTCCATAGTAAAAATAGCTGTAAAGCAGCTCAGCGCCAATAGTTAGCATAATGCTCTAACAATAGAGCGTTTCATGTATACAAGGGAGGTAATTATTCAATAATAATCATTATCAAGCAATTTTAAACACATTACAAAATACTTTTCTGTACTTTCGAGCGTTCCCTGAACTCTATAAATACCGATTGTTTTATAAAATCCCGCAAACAGCTTTCGAAAGTTCGTGAACTGACCGTTGCTTCTCGAAACATGTTTGCCGAAACGTCAAGTCACTATTTCTCTAATATCACTGACTCTTCAAATGCAACAGAAGGCCAAGTACTTCATCACGCTAAGGCAGGTGGCTATTTTGTACGCAACGTGAGCACAGAATGGGAGCTTTATTACTTCAATGCATAGGTCTTGTTTTGGTTCTCACCGGCATTGATCGTTGTATATTACCCGTGCTATTGCATAGTGGTATGTTTCTGTTATTTTGTGTTTTCGCTAGTCGCCTTAACTATACATTATACCTGTGTTTTTATCGCGTGCTTATAGGTGTATGTCGTTACACATAATATTTCTAGCTACTTTGTTTTGAAACGCGGGCGGGTGTACTAATGGAGGCTTGTTCGCAGGTTATATGGACCACCCCAGAAACTCCATCAACGTTCACGCCGATTCCATGCAGGGCGATGACACTGGTGAGAGACCAGTGAAACACTGGGTTTCATTATCCGAACAAACACGGCGCATGCGTGAACGGAGTGTTGGGCTTTGGCTGTACTAACCTGCGAACAGGCGTGGAAGGGCTGTCTTCTTACTCTCTCTCTCCTACACTCTAATGCATATGTTTATACCGCTTCTCTCTCTCTCCACTTTTATGCAGATTTAAAGCGAAAAAAATGCTTTCCTTCACCGTCTTGTGGTTGGAAGGTGTATACTTCTGTGGAACTCTTCATCTTTGCCTGTTCGTTCTCTTGACGTTCATGCTGCCGACGAGTTTTCAGTATGAAAGTGGCAAGGCTGCAGAAACGAGTCAGACTCGTATATAGTCTGCCCGTGCGTCGTTAAGAAGATCTTTTAATGCACATATACTTTCTTTGTACGTACTGTTCCAAACGGCTTGCGCTCTTGTGCCGTCATTGTGTCTGGGGCAATGGTTGTGTCTGAGTGTTAAAAAAAGAAAAGAAAACTACATAGAAGAATGTTTCACGGCCCATCTGAAGATCAGGTCACCCTGCCTTACGTGGAGCAAGCCTAAAGCCAGCGATTTCGAATACGTGAAGTATTGCTGAAAGTTTGAATACAAAAGACCGCTACGAATGCGAAGAACGGTGCATATACACACGTAGTTGCACATTACGCTACCGTCGCGTAATTTGTAGGTATTGTAAGTTGCGTTAGTGAAACAATGACCATCTATTGTTATAATCCAAGTATTGAAGGCTACCGTCAATGTGTGGCTTTTCAGCCACGAGAGGGAGCCACTGTATACTTTTTTTTTTAATGACGAGCGTGTACAGACGTGCGATGAACGCGAATCACAAGAACCCGTGCACTGCACGGGCCGAGTGCTAGGTCATAGTTGCGGAACGCTCATAAAAGGTGAACACGGAAAGTTTAGCGGTGTGTATGCCTGCACACAGGCGCGTATCGAGTGACCGAGCCAAGCGTGCGAACGACAGTTCCCACGGTGAACGTTAACGCTGATTTACAGCCCTTGGAAGCGAGGAACAATATCGCGACTTTTTTTTTTACGGCGTGTAAAATAACGGCGGCGTGCTGGATATGGAAGAGCCGATGGCGGTTCGCTGAAAAGTTTATAAGCACGAGTGGTGTTTGTGTGCTGCCAGCCTCCGCGCATGGCTGGCTTCGATTGTAAATCTGATCGACACGCATGGTTCTAAATCAATTCCTGAACTATAGCTGAGCCGCGGAATGCACCTTCCTCGGTGCAGCTGTAAACTTTTGCGGAAGTATATCGGGAAGTCCAGCGTGATTTCCCGTCTCCCTATCACGATCATTAATTCTCACGATAGTGGAACGCACAGAAGCGCCTCCGGCGGTCTGAATTGTGCCCGTAAACAGTTCGCTTTTAACTGCCTCGTACGGAGATAAGTATAATGAAAGTCGTGAACCGGGAGCCGAAGAAGAGTTCTGGTATCCATATAGCTACAGGATATATGTAGATCACTATAATGCCGCTCCAAGTTTCATGAGTTGTAATACGAGCGTCTTTGAAAAGTGCGTATGAAATATATTTACGAATTTGCGATTCAAGCTTTGGTACACGGCTATAGGGATGCGCACACACACACACACACACACACACACACACACACACACACACACACACACACACACACACACACACACACACACACACACACACACACACACACACACACACACACACGCACGCACATGCACACACACTCACACACACACACGCACACGCACACACACACACACACACACAACCCGCCTTCATGCATGTCTTGGATAGGTGTAGTTCAGTTTGCACTCTGACTTTTTAAAATCTTGTATCTTTTCACCTTTCTTTATGTCCTTCCCGTATTCCAACGGCCGTGCAGCCAACCGCACAGTTAACCTGGCAAACATTCTCTGCCCTATTTATCTGTTGTTTTCTCTAGCTTAGCTAATGCATACTCAGCGAAGTCCGATTTAACCATAACAACATTACAAGCAAAACATAGATCCATTTCAACTTTATCACAAACACATTTGATCCCTCCCTCCAGTGAAGGGCGTTAACTGTACGCCCAGCTAAGGAAGTTTATTACATACTTACACAATCCATAAGGGTCGACTCGGCAATGACAGGCGCTAGAGCAGCTCTATGTGAGATGAGGAAAGACAGAAACCCCGCAGTGATCTGTTGCGACAGGCGTTTTCTTATCTGCGAACTCATTTCCGCCCGCGCGAAACAGAATGCGCTCTCGTACATACGTATACACACCACTTGCCCTGCGCCATCGCGCGCAAGGGAGAGCTGAAAGACCATCCCCATCTACATCGACTAACTCAGCTGGTCGAGAGAGCGCGTGTTTCCTCCTACGGCCTCGATCACTGCGCTTGACACCTCACCGGCTGCAGGACCTATGAGGCGATTTCCCTAAAGACATACGCAGTGCCGCCATCTTGGACGGTAATGTGAATGTTTCTTTATTGATTTACACTGTTAATTTTTATGAAAGGGAACACGGGAGCACGTGGCCTGCGCGCTCCGCGGCTGCTGGCAGCGCACTCAAGCGGGAGCGAGAGCAACCACAGTCTCTTCTCGCGTCATCTCGCGGCGAGCAAAACAATTCGTCGCTGATATAGAACCAGCGGCAAGAGTGCAACCCCCTCCCCCTTCAAGGTGATTACTCAATATTGCAAACCCCTTCCCCTTCAAGGCGATTACGCGAGAGTTGCACTCTTGCCGCTGGTTCCATATCAGCGACGAATGATTGTTTTACTCGCCGCGAGATGGCGCGAAAAGAGACTGCGGTTGTTCTCACTACCGCTTCAACGCGCTGCCAGCAGCCGTCGGAGCGCGCAGGCCACGCGCTCCCGTGTTCCCTTTCATAAAAACTGACTGTACATGGCGAGGTGAATGAACGAGGTCATGAAGCGTCAAATGCACCCACCCAACCATATTCACGCGTGATCGTCTACACTGTTCGTTTAATTGTAGAAGATAACAAAACGGCCCAATATGGTGGCCGCCGAAACCTGTCCGCAATATAGACCACGAAAAAACTAAGAACGTCAGTCACATGAAACAGCTGCTCTATGATCGCTCGATGGCAGTATAGACTTAGCCTGAAGAAGTGTGCATCACTCCACTACCTATTTTTTTATCGTGCTTATTTCACTCACGAATAGATATACAGATATAAGGCTTGTTTCAATAATTTTCGAAAATCATTAGGTTGCGTGAGGGGTGGTCAAATCCGCTCCAAGACATCTAGACAGAACGCGGTGTTGTGTTGCTCTGGAACTCTTTGCAGATCTAACACTGACAGTCTTTCATGTGCGAATGGAGGGAGTCATGTCTTGAACGACAATCAGTGCTTTTTCATGCCGTTTTCACCCCAGGAAGCTGTTTATCATATTGTCTTGTATGTACAAACCCTCCTGAACAGAAAAATATAATCTGTAATGAGTGTAAGTCAATGGTTCAAATATTAAACACTCTTTATAAGACAATTGGATGCCTTTTTGTCGCGCTTTGCCCCTCTCACATGCCATAATTTTAAAGAAATTCCGCTTTGTCCTCAGGCACCAAACAAACTAAATTTTTGGTGGTATGTAGCTCATACGTAGTCTGAAGTAACAAAATAAATGTTCACGTTGCTGACGCAGGAGTAGCTTCATGCAGGGATCCGAATATTTGGCCGAGCAGAATTTCGCGCCTTTTTGACAGGTCACGAACACACTGACACCATCCGCGTAATTTTTCCCGCGTGAACGCTCTGAGAAATCATCGACTTTTACAAAGTGAAAAGGTAGACAAGGACCAGCACTTATCGCTGAAAAAAAGAAACAAAGAAAAGTATTTTTTATTAGCTACAGAAACAGGCAAAGCCAAAATGTCGCGTTTTGCCCCGTGTCTCATTTTACCCCACCCTACCCAATCAGGACTGCTTGTTTACCCTATAGGGTGTCTAGAATAACCATACTATGCCAATTTAATGAAGAACGTTGACGGTTGAATACTCTACAGTTAAAAGGGGGAAATATAGACGAGAGAAATTTATATATATATATATATATATATATATATATATATATATATATATATATATATATATATATATATATATATATATATATATATATATATATATATATATATATATATATATATATATTGAAGAGGCGGGTTGCTAGGCAACCAGTACATATCGGCGTGATCGAGTTGTAGCCACTGATACCTCTTTACACCGGTCAACGATATCGCGTTTTCACATGACACTTTCAACCAAAATATAATGGGACTGCTCCACAATGTTTCGCAAAACTCCACAGAGCATGGATAAGTGCTACCGAACAACGGCAAAAACTCGTCATGACAACCACGAGAGTGAGGAAAAGCAATTAGTCACGATGACCTAAAAGAATTGTGGTGCGTTATATGATAAGAAAAGGCAAGATGAATACATATTCTCGTGAAGTGATGATGGATATACTCGTATCAGTGACAGGGCATTGAATTAAAGTATAAGTACTCTTTTTCGACGTCCGTGTTATAGTTAATAAATCGTACACTGCGGAGCAACATAATGTAAACAGGAGCAGAAGCTTGATAAGCGGGGAATTCATATGTATGAAGCGTTCACCTTCCATCGAGTGTTTGTCTCGCATTGTGACCGGTCCTTCAACTGATACGACACACGTGCGGAACCGTATTTCTAAAGTTTATTCGACACACATTCACGAAGCAGCTATGTAGGTAATAGTGGTTCTTATTTGTAGACTCGGGAAACCGGCGATTTGTTTGAAGTGTCTGCTTATTCTTTGAAAACGGCCACTGATAAGCGATTACGTCTGCAATTGAATTCCCCCGAATAAGGTTCCTCCGCATCTTTATAAACCTACATTCCGCCCGAAGCTCTTTTTCAGCCTCTCGCGCTTAACAGGTCAGCTGAACACACTGTATTCGACCGATTGATCAAAACAAAACTCCTGTATT